GGAGGAAGCACTAGATCAACAAAATCATATTTCTTACAATCTTAATAGAAACTTTGTTATAAAACACATATCTGTATAATTTCATACGTCTATTTCTTCGATTAAAGAAGAAGAAGAAGAAGAAGAAGATATTCAAGTTGATAGATCAAGGAATCATTGAAAATATTCAAGAATTCAAGATTTCTTTCCAAACTTTAATTCCTAGTAATGCTGTATCAATTCTATTTATCTTAGCGTAATCATATGGTCCTGGATAATTGTATAGATGCTAGAATAAGCTTCAATCCTATGTTTTGATGTTTTAATATTAATTTTAGATTTCAACATTAAATATTTGTTTGATTTTCAAATACTTGATGAATAATTGAATTGTTTTTAATTTCTATTGACGTTTGAGAGAAGCAATATGTATTTTACACGTAGCAACAATAATGGTAAATTGTCCAATAGAGGATAAAGATATATTGATATGCTTTGCATGATAGTTTTGAATTTTCTTGTGATTTAATGCATCTTTACATGCTTGCATCCTTCAAAGAGTCATATGAAGGTTATGTTTGATAAGTGCATTTCGTGCACTTATTTGGGCTATGTTATTAAGTTTTTATGTCATACAAGCATGGATATTATACTTAATTTAGTTTAATTTCTTTTTATTTCAGCTTTGGACTCCGTTTCTAAACAATTGGAAAATAACAAATGTGAAATCTAAAGTATGTGGACTAAATTGCAACATTTCAATAGTTGATTCAGACCACAAAATGAAGATGAAAAGTGTTACGAGTTCAATTGGATGCAATTTGAAGTTGAAGGATCAAAATCGCAAGAGAAAGGGACTTAAAAGAATCAAAAATCGAATTTGGGGGATCAAAATACAGAGTTTGAGAGTTTTTACAACTAGGCGACTACTAGTTACAGTAGTTGGGCAATCTCCCGGCTTGAAATTTCAATAACAGTGTCAAAGTTGCATGCCAAGATGACCACCAAGGTTTTGCCCCGACAATCGCCCAGGCCATTCGCACCAAAAATTGTTTTCCGTTTTGAGTTCTTCTTCTACGAGGAAACCTTCCTTTTGGGCCTATATTTGGATGAATTTTGGAGATTTTTGTACACTTTTTAGAGTATGAAAATACAACATATTACACAATAATAAGGGTTGGAGAATTGATTGCAAAAGAGGTAAAGAACACTTCAAATTGAATTCAAGAATTTTCGAGTGATGAATAACTTTTATATCTTTTGCTTTATTCTTCACAACATGTTAAACTAAACAAATCTAGTGCTAGGATTACTATGAATCTTTTGTTATGAAACTTCTTATTTTTTTATTTTTTGGCATTTAAACACGTTTTTCATTATTGAACAATTTTCCTGGAATTATTTTCTTTTAGAATTATGTGGAAAATGATTTTATGAATATTGTGGCTTGTTTTACCTTTTAAAGATGGAAAATAAGTTAAACACGGTGTTAATCGTCGTAGAGTCTGATAGGAAATATAAATATACCGCTATACTTTACGTGATCTTTAATGCATTCTTATATATTTGCATCTGTTATAGAAATATATTCTGGTCATATGTGAGAATATGTTTAATTTTATTCAAGAGATATTGTTAAAAAATTCAAGAATATTGATCTTTGTAATTGAATCGTGCTCTCAAATGGTAAGGTTAAAGTTAAAGGCAATTGATACAAGGGGGATTCAGGATCCTAGTGCATTTTTTGTTAATAAACTTTCACAAAACTTGCATTAGTTACAATTTGCATTGATTTCAGTTAATTTAGGTATTATTTTTACAAGTAGATTATAATTTAGTCATAGAAAAATCACAAGTGTTCATTGTTTCGGTTAAGGCTTACTTTATTTGAATTTAAACCAATACAGTCTATGTGTGTACAATATTTGGACACAAAATTCATTTTATTGCTTATTAACGAACTGTACACTTATAATATTTCAAACAAAACAAATATTTTCGTAAGATGTGTGAGTACATGCTTAATTTTATTCAAGAGAGATTATTAAATAAATTAGGAGCATTGAC